AAAATACATCATGCACAACCTGTATTAGACACCAGTGAATCCACATGGGCTCTAACCTCCAAAAGCCACATCCACGCAAGTCAGAGCCCCTCCAGCTCCTCCAGCAACCAGTCGCTGGTGGTGGCAGTCCTCAAACCCTGGAGTTTCTCTGATGTTTTCACAAGAGACATTTCTCTACGCACCAAACCCAACAGCTGCGTGAACAGCGAAGAAACAGGGTGGCAGCCACTCGTCCTTTTTGACCGGCGGTTTGGATCTTGGGTTCTCTCTGGCAGGAGGTTGCGGAAAGCTTCGGCCAGGTGGGTCCGGCCAGAGTGGGTGTTGATACCCACGAAGATGAGCAGCTTCCCTGTCTGAGCCCAATTCCATCTCCTGAGGGGACACCAACTGCTCAAATGCAGTGGGAAGGCTACCGAGGGTGGTCTGCTGAAACCCCACGCCCTGGCTTTATCCTTGAGAGAGATGTTTTCCCTCCCCGCATTATGCTCGACTCTCAGCATCACCATGTCTCCATGTTCCCATTTTGCTGCCCAGCCGGCGCCTGCTTCGGCAGGGTGACCCATGCAAACGCGAGGCATCGCCCTGGAAAAGACGCATTTTCCCTGCCATTGGGATGCGCTGCACGTCGGGATGCGCTGCCGTCAGGATGCGCTGCTGTTGGGATGTGCTGCTGTTGGGATGCGTTGCTGTCAGGATGTGCTGCACATTGGGATGCGCTGCTGTCGGGATGCACTGGATGGACATCAAGATGCGCTGCACGTGCTCACGGAGGCTGAGAGTTCACGCAAGGAGTGCGAAGCCCGGCTGCCGCGCAAGGCCAGCCCGTCCCGTTAGCTGCCTGGGACCACAGCCTTTTATCGGGGGTTGGGGAGCCAGCAGTCACCCAGCTCGCTTGGGAAAGCTCTCCCTGAAAAAGCAGGTGTCGGATGGTGCTGGTTGAAAAAAGCTGGAGGAGCCACAGCTGGGGTCTGACCCAGTCAGTCCCTTCCCAGGTTCCTAAAAATAACGAGAGCGCTTTTGAATCGCCTTTAAAATCCCCGCTTCCCGCAGCTGGCACAGGCCGATAAGCTGCTGCAGCGGCTGGGGGCTGCGCTTCCCCCCTCCCGCAAGCCCTGCCAGCTCTGCCGTCGGCCTCTGAGCTCAAACCTCAGTGGCAGAAAATCCCCTGTCCCCTCCCCAAGGACAAATGGCACCTGTGGGGCCCCCGAGGCTTCCTCATTCCTGCCGGATGACCGCCGCCATAAACCCTATTGTATGCGTATGGGGTTACGCATTTCTTTACCATTTCAAGAGGCAATGGTAAAGAGAGGGGCAGGCTGGGTGGTAGGTGCTGTCCCTGCCATCCCTCTCCTTTTAGGGGGGAATGGGAAGATTAATAGTGTGAGGGAGCAGTGGTAAGGGCGTAGAGGCTCAGCAATGAGCTGGAGGAAGGAATAACTGTCTCAAGCTGGGTGCTCGGGGACGGTCCCGCCGCTGCCAGCCCTGGCCAAGCACCCTTGCAGTGCAGCTCCCTGGTGGTTTTGGCGGTGGCAGAAAGAGAAGATGAGGTCCATCTGGTCTCCTCTTGGCTCCTCTCCAACAAGGAGGACCGCCAGGACAGCCTCGGCCATCGGCACTGCTGATGCCAGCCCGAGCACAAGTCTGCTGCAAGCCAGGCCAGGGGACGGGTCAGGATGTCCCCAAGCCCTCTTCAAACGCTGCCGTGTTAGCGATGGACCTTTCCCGCCCCCCGTCCTGGTGCCGCGGGTGCACGGGGAGGGCTGGCTCCCAGCGGGGACCCAGTGCCGCTGCCGTCCCTGCCCGCCCCGCCTGCGCCGAGGCAGCACATGTGCTCCAACACGCCCAGGATGAGTTAAGCATCAGGATACGCACCCGCTGCCTACGAAATCGCCCAGGGAGCTCAGCGGTGCCGCTTCCAGCCGGGCTCCCTTCCCTACAGCTGCGGTCTGACGGCCGGGGGGGCTCAGTGCTGGCTGCAGCACCCGTGGGCGCCTCTGCCCCCTCCCCACACACCCAGCGGAGGCCAGACCCCGACTTTAGCCCTCCTCTCCCTGCTCCCCACACGGCTGCATGCCGTGGCCCAAGAAGCCCTCCTCCTCCTCCTCGGGGAGCCCCAGGAAGGTAGAAGCCGGGGATCCAGCACCCTGCAGGGCTCACCCCGCTTTGGGGGCTGGGGACCCACACACAACTCCCTGCCTTGCAGTGGCCCCGGTGCTGGGGAAGGGTTACCTTTGCCATGCAAGCTGTGGGGTGATTGCTTGCAGAATTGCTCTGCCAACGTTTGTTTTTTTTTTTTTTTTGCACAAGGGTTTTTATCTCCTGGTGCCTTTTACAATGTTTGCCAGGAAAAAAAAAAAAAACCAACCCCACACCCATAAGTGTCTCTGCCCTGGACTCCTAACAGCACTGCCTCCCGCCGTCCGCGGGCAAGGGTCTGTGTGATTGCCGCCAAAATAATTATAAAGTGCTGGGTTTACATCCTCCTCTCGCTGCCGTGCGGGTAGACTTTGGCCTCCGCCTGCATTTCAACCGCCCGTTCCCGCTCGGGGGAAGCGCGGGAGGGAGGGAGCCGGGGTGCAGCTCCCCGGGTCGGGTACCCGCTGCGGTGCCCCAAAACAAAGGACACAGACAAGCCGTGCCGTGGGAAAAGCAGGACGAGATGTGGGGGGCAGGCAGCACCC